TTAACCTCATCAGGTTATAATCGTTCTTTAAACCAGTTGCAATCTTTTCACTTTTTTTTTTCCCCCTCATCAGGTTAGAATCGTTCTTTAAACCAGTTGCTAGCACATCCGTACCCGCTAAACGAAAGGTATTTTCCCATTAATCAAAGCTCTCATGTTGGTTGTTACATTGAACATTTCAGATCTGGTTTCGTTCTAAATCCCTGATAGCCAACTGTATGACTGTTTTTAATTGGATGTATGCTTTCGTTATAGACTCGTTTAGTTTTGTGGTCTTCGTCCCCAGCCTTCATGTAAGGCATATATTATCATGCATTTGTTTGTCAAAGCATTCTCTTGTACACTTAATACAGGAAACAATCGAGAAAAATAAGAAGGAATCTGTAAAGAAGACCAAGGCTGCTCCAGTAAAGAAGAAATAGTGAGGTCCTAAAATCGGCGATTGGAGTTCGTGTAGTCTTTTAAAATTTATCGAGGGCGACTATTTTGTCCAATCTGGCAGGCTATATAACCTGTACAAACTTTCAGGTTTTTGATCCTATACAGGTTCTTCTGTCTATTTTATCCAGCCATATATTTGACTTGATATTTCGTTTAATTTACTGCTTTGTGCTAGTTTTGTTGTTATGGATTTAATTTTGTGGCTCTTTTAAAACTACATTTTTGAAATTTTTTTGCAATAGTGCAAATTTCAAAATGAAACCATATATAAACAATTCATAAACGAGTCATAAACCAAAAACAATATAATTCAGAAAAAAATGAAAAATAAATAAACCACAAATCAATTATTAATGCACAATGCCATTGTACCTTAGGATTGTACTCAATAAAATAAAAATCTTAATCACGATGCAAGATTATTTTACTGAATAAAATAAAAAATCTTAATTAGGATGCAAGAATAAGGGGGTGTATTTATTTGAAATAATTACCTGGTGGACGATCCTTCATAAGTTTTTCTCCCTAAATACGAGATAAGTCTTTTAATATCAATCTTAAGATTTTATTTCCACTTGAATGATTTTTCCAAAGGCTAAAGAACACCAAACAGATCCACTTTTCAACTTTAAA